ATCTTTATTATTCAATGTCATTTATTCAGGGATTGGAGGAGGGACTGGGATGGATTCAGCCTCCAAAATAGTCGCTCCTGTGGTGGTCATCGGATCGCTGATTGCAGGACTGCTGTTGGTGCTGCTGATTTATAGAAAGCGATCTCAACGTGAGTACCTGCACAGGACCTCATTTGGCTTTCTTTCAAAGTGAAACCATCTAGTATCTTTTTGAGTAATGACATAACACGGATGAAAAAGTACAATTAAAATTTATAGTTATTGCTGGTTTAATGTAGGTGTTCCTACTTATTCTAAGAAAGAAAAAAAGAGCAAGACCACACAGCAGCAAGCTTAAAATACCACACTATCCTAGATGATGCAAGCACTGATGTACCAACATTTCATTTCCTACGAAAGAAAGAAAGACAAATAAAATTAAGGAGCACTTGAACCGCAGCAAAGAACCCTTGTTCCATTGCTTGAACAAAAGCGACAACATTGTTGAGCCTGGTAGAAAAAAAAAAAAAAAGTATACTTGAGTATACAAGTATAGCAATACTGGACCACTATTACTATTATGTTTGAACATGAATTTCTGTTTTTGATGTGATGTTTGAATGCTAATGTTCACAAATGTTTCATGGGATTTCATGACTGGTTTTCTGTAAACAATAAAGATCTAAAAGGAAGTAGGCAGACAATGGGTGAAGGGTGAAACAATAATAGTAATAACTGGAAAAACCTGGCAAGCAATGGTAAGCGGCCATGTTATTCAGGGTTGTAAAGCATGCTCTTTTTTTTTATTGTTAAATTGGATTAACCAGTCTAGCTACTGCAAACACTTTCCATTATTAGACAGTGTTCTCCAAAATGTCAAAGATTGGTGAAGTTAAGCACAAGTAGATATTTGCAGTGAGTGTGCACCCACTGTCATGATCTATCATTTTATTCACAGAGGCCCGGAGGCACTCTACAGCACCTCTTATGGGTACGTCCATCTTTGGACATAATATTGCAGCTGTTTTTGCTCTTTACTAACACCTGCACAAAGGGCTTACTTTCGTTGTGTTTACAAATAAATAAAGGCTCTCTATACTGTCCTCTATAATATTTTTTCAGTTTATCATCTATTTGATGCTGCCTGAAACTTATTATCTGCTACGGACCTGATGTTTGATGATTCATCTGAATTCAGCTGGTTGAAACTAATTCAGAGAAAAGGTCTTCTAAGTCTATCACTGGAATTTTTATTGAGCAATGTAGTTGAACATATGAGAACCCATTAAACCAAACTCACTCACCACAGAAGAAGTTTTCGATCTATATCCACACTTTTTCAAACTTATACTCCTGCCATGTTCTGAACCTTGTTTGAACATGTCTGTCACTGACTCAGAAATGTCCTGGAAATTACAGTGATATGTACTACACTGGGAACTAGATTTTGTATTTTTCCGTGATCTATCATCATTATTTGAATCATACAACATCCTGACTCATGTTATCTACGCTTGCATGTGATGAACTCACTCAATATGGTGATGGTTTCACAGCCAATGATTGTAAACTGCAATAAAATATTTAATTTGTTCTAGGTGGCCATCAAGAGGTTTGCAGATGTGAATTAGAAGGAGATGAAGGTATGTCTAAAATACAGTATTCCGACTCACTGTGTCTAACCGATAAAACTGTTTTATTACTGTTTTGACATGCACTCTATAAGATTTAATTGAGGCTTTGATATGAAATCTATTTGCAGATCATCCACAGAGGATGGATGACAGGTGCCAAAACCTCCAGGTCTGAAGTAAGTATAGTGTTCCAAGCAAACAGCTGAACGATAGTTAGTGTCACCTCTATGTTGTTATGTGTGTACTGGCAGTAAAATAGACAATATCAAATGTCTAAAAACTCTCTTCCCCCCTCTCCCTTCTCCTCTTTCTCTCTCTCTCTCTCTCTCTCTCTCTCACTTTCTCTCTGTCTCTCTGTCTCTTTCTCTCTCTCTACAGGAGATATTGCCTGTCATATAAATATGCAAACTCACTGGCAACCTGAAATCAACACTTCCTAATATGTCAAATTGTCATTGTACTTCTCCTATTGCAAACAATATAAACAGGGATTACTTGTATTACTGTGATTCATCAGAGGAAATGTAACATCTCCCCTTACATATTGTAAGCTTCCTAAGTAAACACTTTTATGTCAAGTCTGAACCTAGAAAAAGAAGAGAAAATCTGAGAGTCTGATTTTGATTCAGTATCAGACAACTTGAAGCCAGGGAGTCGTGTTCAGCAACATCAGGAGCAGAATGTAGCATCATCAGAAACCAACACGATAGTGGTATTTTTTTTAGGCTGGCACTGAATGTCTAAGTTTGTGTAGGTTTATTGGAGGAAAAACGTTATAGAGTGTGTCTATATTCAGCCTACATAGTGAATGGAGCATTTTGCAGCTTGGCAGCAGTAACCTTTTTTCTCACATCCTTTTATTATGTAAGCATGATAAGGAATACATGAATTCATATTTTAGGAAGTTATGTATGTGTGTGTAGCTTGATGCTCAGATTGAGCAGACTTTCATTTTTGTTTTTTATAATCCACACAACTCAATAATTTGTCCAAGTTTTGTGCTGGTGTGGGTTCTTGAGCAGACGTTTGTTGTTTTTTTTTAGCTCTTTGGTAAGTCTGACTTCCAGTCTTGTGTTACCTCTCACTCCCTGAGAACATTCAACCCCCCACAGATTTCATATCCTTTTTCTAACCACTGAGAAAGTTCACCAGCTTGATACTGGTTGTACTTCCATGTGTCCCATGATCTCCACTTGTCACTGACTGGCACAGCTATGGTGTGTGCTTATGTAACATTTGGCTACAATGTACAGTTTTATTGCCAAAGCAGCACTTCTGTCTTCTATATTTTTTGTTTCATTCTTCTCTTCATCCGATAACAGCCCTTCAGAGAAGTGGACATCCATATTTTAAGGCTCTCAGGATTTCTGGTGCTTAGTAATGGAGCAGGTCACAACAAAATGTTTTGTATTCCAGGTGTGTGCTAAAAAGACATTGGGTACAATAAAACACCTTATCAGCATCTTCCGAAGTACATGATATCAATATGATATTGATTCTTTCCTTCATTGGAGTTAATCATTGACTAAGTTGAGAAAAACAACACCAATAGAAACGTTTAAATGTTTTTCATTTTTATTTTTGTTTGTCACAATTTAAAAACCAGAAGGTGACCCAGGGAATACTTTTTTGTATATACTATTTTGTAAATCTGTGAAATCTTAAATTTTGTGTGTGTGTTTATGTTTATGTTGTTCATCCACTTTATACATCATGTCAGAATAATTTACTGAATCATCAAGTCTTCATATTTTGATTACTGTGTATTTGTTGTGTTTTAATGATTAGCAGACACTGAAGTGTGACATGTGTTTCTTGTGATTAAAATACGTGTGCGAGTGATATTTTTACTCGATGTTTTACTAACAGGGATCTACACTCGTGTCATCGTCTGCTGGACTTACACATGAGAACTGACTGTTAATGCTCACTGCTCCTCTCTCAGTTGGTGGCTGTTTTTAAGATGAGACACTTCCTGGTTTCCGATTTCAGTTCTTCCTGATGAGCTCATTTGATAACAGCAGTCTTTGTTCTTCACTCTGCTGGTGAAATGATCAGAGTCATCCTTGTTCCTGTTCCTGTTTTTTGGAAATTGTCTCATTTGTGCATAAAACCACAAAAGTTTCAAAATTCTTCTAAAGAAAGGTGCGTAGTGTTTAAGAGGTAAAGACACGTTATCACATTTTGATAACAGATACTGTGCAAATGATTAAGTGATTAGTGAACAATAGTTTCTACTATTCAGTATCATATTGATTTTTTTTATCAGTAAATAAAAGATATAACATTATGACATCACATCATTTTGATCCAGATTTAAAAGGAATATCGCAGAATTCAGGTCTTAAATAACTCTCAATCATGCCATCTACTGGACAATTAGCATTACAGCATGTTGTTAGGCCATAACAGCAAAGGTAAACGGCATGAAAACTAATTTGAAGGAGGGTAGTTATTATTTTAAAATGTCTCTTGTGCATGTAGGCTACATAAACTGAGACATTTTTTTTATCTATCTATATATATATATAGATAGATTTAAAAAAAATACTAAAATGTATGGAGCAACACTCAATGTATTTGTTATTGTTAATACTTTAAATATAGTTCAGATCTGTCTAAAAACCACACTATGAAATTTTGTACATGTAAAAGTAAGTTTACACGTCACATACAAGGATTTTTACATGTTACATTCACATATATATGCTCCTATATTGTTTTAATTGATTACAGTAATGTTGCATGCAATAGGCAGAGTATTGTTTTATTGTTGTGGTTTTAATAACGTCCACTAGAGGGTGATCTCACCACATAATTAAATTACTAAAGGTTTTTGGCCATGTACATATACAGTACTTTGAGGTTTTTCAAAGCAGATATTTTGATTTGTCCAAGCAGAAAAAGCACTGATGAAACAAATTTTGCTATTGAAGCCTCAATTACATTAAGTGTTTATTGTATTTAATTTCCAATCTTCCACCAACTTCCACTAGGGCTTGTTCTCACCTCATAGTTCTATATATAAAGTACTAATGTATCAGATATAGAGAACACATTTATCTAAATTCATAGTTATAACCTGTTTTATGTGTCATTATTTATGGTGAGGTGATTTCTATCATTTTAAACCTATGAAAGATAGACACATATTTTAAACTTTCTTTAGCTTCAACCTTTTCCTCCATCTACACATTTCCATCATCTGGTTTTCAACATCATAATATTCCAGTCAGCCTGACACGTTAAAGATCATATCAATGTCTAAGAACTATGAGAAAATGACTTAAATCAAATCATATTTGTCTCACAGGTTTCACATCATCTCACCACATCAAACAGCACTGTTTTACTCTGTATATACAGTATGTATATGTGTATGCGAGAGACAAAGACACTTCCTGTTTGTTTAGTGCTGCAAGATGATGCTACTCTGTTGGTCTCTCCTGTCACTCTGTCTATCTGCCAGTGAAGGTATGTTCATTTACTTTTCCTTTTACATTTTAAGAAGCTTTTGTTGCAGTTGAAGTCAACAATATTCACTGCAACAATAACAATAATGAAGTTTCTTTGTACAGCACTTTTCAAAACAAACTTACAAAGTGATTTACATAGTTGAACCAGGATTAAAACACTTCATGACTGCAGTGAGGCAGATAAAAATCCTTCAATTAGAAATATTACACAAGTAAAAATGGAATAAAGAAGCCAAGTACCCAACAATAGCATCAGATAAAAGGAATATTAACAATAAAAGCAACAATAATAAATAAGATAAGACATGTTGGAAACAAAACTGTATATTTTCATTAATAAAAAAGAAGCTGAACCAGCTGAGTCACAGTTTTCCTCTTTTATGACAGGGATCACTGCAGTGTGGCAAAAGTCTGGCGAGAACATGATCTTGGAGTGTTCCTTCACAAAATGTCACAGAAGCAATAACAAGATCACAGGGATGTATCTGTATCATAATTTAGTGGAGAAGAAAGAGGTGCTTTACTATTACCATGAATCTGAGGAAATCATCCCACGCAAGGGATACTCAGGGAGGGTTGAGAAGAAAGGATTTCTGGAGAACAACACTGTCACCATCCGCAATCTGACCGTGGATGACTCTGGTGTCTACACATGTGTCTATGATGAAGTTACATGCAGTGTCTACATACTTGTTGTATCAGGTGCGTTTTTCCTTTACCTTCCCTTTCTTCTACTTTATATTTGATGATATATATATATATATATATATAGTATATCACTCATCTTCTCAACATTAGTGATACTATATATATATGTATCGTATCACTCATGATGAGTAGTGGTAGTAGCTCATTCTTCTGAGCTTATACAAAACAATTGTGTAACCACTTCCCACTGCAACAAGCTCAGCTTGCACATTTGATGCAGATGACCAAATACACATAAATGACAGAGAATGTAATGTAATATGGTGACATTACTAATGTGTGGGGTTGGTTAGACTCCAGGGAAGTTTCATTAAGTAAAGGATCTGAATAGTGCATACTGAATCACTGGTGGACCATGACTGGTACTTAAAATAGGCCATTTGCTATGTGCTTGTCTATATTCCACATACGTATATAGAGAATATCTACCTTCTTTTCAGTTGTTGTTGACCTCTCCTCCTTCACTAGATCTTTTGCATGAAGAAAGTCCAGAAAGAGAGAACAATCTGGGTCTGGTGTTAGTCATCTTCGCCATCTGTTCCATCACCATAATAGCAACCATGATTTTCATCCTGCTGATCATCCCAAGGGTGAGTTCAGACATCTATACACACTCTGTGTGTGATTGAGCTTGATTATTTTAGTTGAGGCTTTGTGTCTCAACTAAAACAATCAACATGTACATTATACAGCAGTAGTTTGATCTAGCGTTTGCAGATTTGATTTACTGAAGGACATTGTGTCCCTGCAAAACCACATAACTGCTGTATACGCAAGATATAGCTGCTTCAGATCTTCACCTCACTGCTGATTACATCTAAAACCACTGAATGCCTTTACTGCGTCTGAAGTGCTGATGAGGATGAAATGTCTTCAAACGTACACATCTGTTCACATTTTGTCCCAGTGTTGTCTCAAGATAAATACAATTTCTCTTTGTCCGTACATGTAAGTCTCAAAATGACTGATTATAATGAATGATTATAGTGTTTGTAGTAGTATGTGAGATGCCTCATTCAAAAAATCTTAGAATTTCTTCTTCTGTCAACATTTGTCCAAAAAGTCAGTGTCTTAAAACATTTTATACAGAATGTAATTTTCTGACATCTGTACACACCCTCAGGCTATACAGACACTCTACAATGATATTTCACTGTCAACAGGTGAAACAATGGAGCAGCAGAAGAAAAGCAAGAAATGACCCACAGGGCTCCAGTGATTACGTGTATGAAGTTATGACCAAGAATGGCCTCCGCCCTGTGGCAGCTCCAGAGCAGTTGTCGCCAAGCCTGAATGATTATGATTAGAAAACAAAGATCACTTACTAATGTTTTGATGACCATCTTCTTCATATTTTCTCTGGATTCAAATTTTCAAATGATTTCAATCAACTTACATGAGACAAAATGTAAATTTAATATATGTAAGTACTTGTGGTCACAAACTATGCACTTATCAAGTGCAATAGGGGCAAGTGGGTGTAGTGCAGAGTGCAGAGTGCTCACATAACGGACTGATACAAATTCATACATTCATAATTGAGTTAATTAGGCACAAATATGAAAAATGGTAATTCATCATCATCAATCATTAGTAATATGTGTTTGTTTATTGTGATTATGCTTGTTTGTGATAGCTTTTTTTGGCTTATATTTCTTATTATTATTTTTATGGCTACTGATGTCATATTTCTTTTCATAAAGCAGATTGTAAGATATGTAAGAAGTTCTGCTATAACAGCAAAGAGAGTTTTGAGCATGGATGAGGGTCTACAAGCTAATGCAGAATAATCAATAAAAACGAAAAACTGATCAAAATATAATTTCACTTAAACCTTATATCAAAACCAGAACTGTATTTCTGTTAAATATCACTGCTTGTAAAAAGCTTGTTTGTCAGTTATGGGCAGGAAGTGGGGACTGAAATAAACCACAGGACTTACAAGAAAAGCATCACACACTGTTTTTTTATTATACACTTTATGATATTCAGTCGTTTAAAAGTTTGTTGAATTGCAGCAATGCAATTTGTTGAATTGCAGCGTTTGCAATTCAACAAGTTGCATTGCATTTTTTTTTTTTTAAGTATATTTTTTGGGCTTTTTTTTTTTTATGCCTTTATTTGATAGTACAGTAGAGAGACAGGAAATGGGGAGGCAGAGAGAGGGGGAATGACATGCAGCAAAGGCTGTCCGATGCGGGACTCAAACCGGGGCCAACTGCAGCGAGGACTGTAGCCTCTACACATGGGGCGCCTGCTTAGACCACTACGCCACACAACGCCCCAAATTGCAGCATATTTATACTTGAATAATTTGATAGAATAAACTGTTGATACTTAAGAGCACATGGTCTGAGTATAATGCAGTTCTCATAACCTTTTTGGTTTCTTCTGTGGTATTTATACCATCAACTAAAGAGTTCCTCACACTGACGCATGTGTCTGTTAACACAAAAGCATGCAAACCGCACACCTCCACACACCCGCCTGTTTTAGTATTCTACCAGTACATACAGAAGCCAGTTTCACTGGGGCCACAGTGTAGATACAGACATTTAAGACTAATTTCATTAAAGAGTGTCTATGGTACCAGTTTCCTTAACGTTTCAGCCTTGTGCTTGTTTTGCCTGCTTTTGTCTGTTTTTTGACCACTGCCACCCCACCTTATAGTCTTGGTTAATTGATTTTATATGATAATTGGAAGTATACTTTAATTGCCCTGCAGTAGCTACCAAGGAGCTCACTAAGGATGAAAACACACACACGCAGACGTTCCCTTATGACCTGTTTCTCCTGTGGTCAACACACAGAAATCAACACAACACCAGACAAATACACAGATGTACCAAGGCTGAATGTAAGGTTACAAATTACTGAGAAAAGCTGGTTTCTGTCTGATGGTGTCAGGTAAATGCAGAGTTGAACTATATAAAACATACCATACCTACAGCACTGTAGAATGTCAGTCTTTAGTTTATCCAACAAAAAACTTTTGGTAACCATTTACACAGTAAATTGATGTTGTACGCTTGATGTGATTGCTCACTGAGCCTATTATTTGACCAAGTAAAGATTGTTTTAACCTCATTTGTATCATTTACTCAGTCTGCTTTTGTTTCATATATTTTTATTGGAAACATTTGTGCAAAGATTTGGACATTTGTACAGATTAGGACTGCTCCAATTTTCTCACTAATCCACAAACATGAATAGAAAGGAAAATATGAAAGGAAGAACAAAAAGGGAAAAGTGGGGTATATTTGATTATCCATTCACTCACCCACCCACTTGTAATTCTTGAGTTTATGTTCAGTTTGTGTGCTGTTTGCAAAGAGAAATAAATGGTGATCCAAAATTGCCTCAGTTTATCCTTCAAGATAAACCTAATGTATCTGTTATTTCAGTGGTACACAGTTTCACTGAAGGAACTTTTTTTTCCAGAATTTAAGTACAAGTTCTTTAGTTGCTATGGGCCCACAAGGGACAAAGTGTTGTTGAGAAACAATCAATTTAGTGATAGCCTCCGATTTTCCCCAGTGGGATTTTCAATATACTGGAGAAGATGCTGCATATTTCAGTCCAAAGACATTCAATTTTGTGGCAAAGTACTAAACTGTGGGTTAAAGTGGGTTCTTGGAATTGTTAGCAGAGAGGGGAGGCATTGGAGAACATTTTATTGGGTTACGATTTTGAATAGTATAACCTGTGCAGCACTTTGAACCGTAGGCTAAGTGTGAATATACTGTAGTGTAAGCTTCTGCCCCAAATATCATTTGTGATTTGTTGACCCAGCTCATCCTCCCAGAGTCTACTTTTGAGTCATTACACCTGCAAAAGGTAGGTTATTACATTTTGACACTTCATTAACCCTATCAGTCCCAGCAGAACACCTGCACACAAACTGATTGGTGTATGTCACTGTGACTCAACATATCAATAGCCCTGTTGTCCCTATGAGCAAAATGAGGTATCTCATTCAGTTAAACCTATTCTTCTTTACATAGCAGAGGTTTTGTCAAAGGCTTTGTGAACGAAATTTTAATCAATAGCAGAAAACGTGATGGCGCCCTGAGCAGAGAAAGAAGTCACACCCCCTCTTTAAGTGTTGCAATTGGTTTGGCAGCGCATGCACGTGTGCACTAACATGCATAAGAGCAGGGCACAGGGGGACTGGCCATGGAAAATACCAGCTCAAACCCCGGTGGGCTGGCATTAAAAGTGCATAAGGTTTAAAAAAAAAAAAAAATCCATTAGTGTCTGCATCAGTGGAGCCACACTGGTTTATCTGGCTTTAATAGAGAACCCTACCTGCTAAAGGGCTGCAGCTTGACCCGGAGCTGGCGTTTCTTATTCTTAATGTGAAAGTAACTTTGTGGCTACATAATGTTACGTGTCTGTCTTCATTAGTGGCGGCTACTGTAGGCATGGTAACCTTAGCTAACTTGCTGTTAACTAAGAATTTGTTCAGCAACTGTCGCTATTGCTAGCTGGCTTACCGTCAGTATTGCGTGGAGTATATGAAGGCAATGCTAATGCTACTGTTTGCTGCTAGGTTGTTGTTTTTGTTGGCTCGTGTGTGTGATTCGTGACCGCTGTGTGCAACAACTTACTGCGAACGTGAGGTAGAGATGTTATGATGTTCCTCCCTGTTAATACGCTGGCTCCCTGCCAAGACTAACCGAGATATTTAAATGTAACAGTACCCCTATCATTGTTATTTGTTCCTCTGCTTTTCCTGCTCTGGCACGTGAAATCGTCTAATCTAGATTGCCAAGTAATATTGCTGTAGTACAACCTCCAACCTGATCATTTGTCGTGAAAGCCATTCATGTAATTGTAATCTCACGTTTAATCGGAAGAGAGCAGCATTGGACTGTTATTATACTACAACATACTGTACTGTGTGCTCAGTTTGTAGTCGTGATGTCATGGACAATTTACAGGAGAAAGCTTTCAGAATGAAAACGGGTGTAACGTCTGCACAGTGTTGTTTCAGCCAGTTCAGAAATAAGTTCAGATATGTATGAAAAGAAAGCGGGTAATTTGTCAGAGCAGTCGTGTACTATGCCAAGAGAGGCGGTTTCAGTAAAATATGCTGCCGTTTCTCACTAGAGAAAAAAATCTGGACATGACAAGCTTCAATTATATGAGTCACTGCGTTGGGTCACAGGTGAGCACATTTATAACGAGAACCAAAGTAAAGGTTAACTTTGTTGTTAAATAGCAGCGTGTTTAAATTGCTCAGGGAGTAAGCTACATCTGCCAACCCACAGAGGAGTGTGTCCATATATCCGTGTGTATGTGAATCTGAGCAGAGTACGAGTCTGCTCAAGGAAGTGATGTGAAAAGTGATGCTAAAGTTACCATAGCATCAGGATATAGGCCTGGCAGATGCAGGTCTGTTTAGCTGTGTCAGGTATTTCAGCATGACTTGGTTTCCATCATTCCTCGATGCTAAATGCCCTCCCCGCCATCAGTCGATTAATCAGTATGTCAGTCAAAGCAAAGTAAGTTGCATACTTGTTTCACTGCTGTGAATGGGTGATAATGATTTTACTACGACTAAGCAGCCTAACCCTGGATAGATAGATAGTCTCCAGTTCGGATCCGTGCGTAAAGGCGCGTCAGAGGCCCCCCCCCCTCGTGCGCTCACACTTCTTTTATCATGGTCGTGCGGTCTCGAGACTCTCAGCATCCCACTAAAGTGCACATCGTCGAGCTAAGCGGATCACACGTCATATCTGCGCTGCCTGCAGTCACAGTGTGCCATCACGCACCTAGAGCGAGCTACGCGAGAGCAAGTGCAGGAAAACTGAGAGGCACAAAGTCGACTCCAGTTCTTGGACGACGGGACCGCATCAGCCGGACAGTCCCAGGCTTGATCTGAGGAGCCAAGCGCTGCCCTTACCGACGACTGAGTGAGGAGGACCAGCACCAAACCCAGAGCATGAAGAAAACTCCAAATTCAGGTACAGATGTTTGTGGAAAAAATGATGCTAGAGTGCACTTGTGGTGCGTGTGGTGATAACATACTGCATCCTTTTATCTTAGATATCACATGATCTGCAGAAAAATATTTATAAATATTAATTATGCATGTAAAATGTGACCTACTTTTGGCTCAGGCTTAAGTATGATCTTTGAAATACTCTGTTTGCTTGCCCAAAGTAATACAGGGTGTATATGAATATATATTATTTATGAAATCACTATGTAATATAGATGAATTTCTGTATATCAAGTTTTGCTGCTAGAAGACGGAAAACTTTCTGTGGAAAGAACAGCACTGCTGAATTTTCTCTTTCAACTTTATTTTCTGTTTATCTGGAGTTTTCAACTTGTCAAACTCTTTCAATTAGTCTTTGCCCCCTCTGCTGTTTTCAGCCAGTTTGTTTTGTGGCTGAGTGTACAGCACCCAAGGGAGCACCTTGGGGTCCCCTGGCTATTAAAGTCTGATGTGCATCATCATGTCCTTCTCAGCGTGACCTTCTGTGTGGATGCACTGGCCCCTTGAGGCTGTGTTCTCATAGTACTGCATGTGTATGTGTGTTTGGCTTTAACAAACATTTTAGATGTTTACTTGCTCATGATATCAGTGATGATGATACAATGATATGTAGGTGCATGACACATAGTGCGTGCTTGTGCTTGTTATACAACACATCTTTGGCTCTGCTCAGGCCCCATCTGTGTGTTCTCCCTCTCTCAACATTCAGGAATACAGGAGGGGCTCTGGGGAGAAAAATGAAGCGCTCTAGACAAAACAGACACAGAAATGTGGCACAAGTTGATGCCGCTGAGGCTTTCATTGAAAACAGGGAAACAGTTGTCATGTTCATTCATGCCATTAAAGACACAGCTAATATCCACATCTGTTTTAAAGTCATTTGGGACAAACCCAAGGCAAATCTCCAAAAGCAAATAGCATGTAAGTTGCATGTTTTCAGGATCTTTGAATGGTGACAAATAAAATGGCATGAGATTTGAACATTTTCTTTTTAAAGCTACGTTAATATAATGTTTTTTACATTGCAGATTTTTGGCAATGCGTGGCCTACCCCCTTGCTTTCCAGGCATATGTAAATCA